TAAAGGCATAGAGTCCGAGTATGCTCGGTCGGGACTACGAGGACACTCGTAGCAGGTTTGTTCGCTGTCGAACAGCGAACGGAGTCTGGTGAGAAGACGTTCAGCCGGGCCTCTTTTATACCCGGCTGGCGGCCGAATGATTTCGAATCGGCAAGCATCGGCGGTTTCGGCGGCGAGTCCCCCACAATACGGAATTTCGGAACGGTCGGGTGTGGGGGATTTTCGGCGGTTGACCGCCGCTGTTTTTGATGCGAAATTTATCGGCGCGCGATGCGCCCTTGGTGGGCTACGGACGATGTACGGTCCGTAGCCGTAACGATGCAGCGGGCTGCATCGTTACAAATATACATTTCGTCTTTATTTATGCATAGAAATTTCAATACAAAAATAAAGGTGACATATATATCATAAAATAGAATGGAGGAAGTATATTTTATTTTGCAACTAATGAATAATTAAAAAAATGGCACACGGTGCGAAAAACAATTTTACCAAAATTAACCGAAAATAAACTACAACCAAAAAGGTATCAAATTGTTAAAAATTATGCAAAAAAATGATAGACCTATATTACAAATAAAAAATAAAACACAAATTGCAGTGCCAAAAATAACACAAGAATAACACAAAGCATTGCAGTGTCAAAAAAAAAATAAAATAAAATCTTTATAAGAAAATTCTTTTAGTAATAGTAATGACTGTTTTACCAGTAACTGTATGGATTGTATGGATTGTATGATGTATTATACGCCGGTGGCAGATACTGTGGCGGATACTGTGGCGGATACTGTGGCGGGCATGGTGGCGGGCACGGTGGCGGGCACGGTGGCGGGCACGGTGGAGCATACGCTACACCGTACGGTCCAGTGTACGGTGGAGCGTATGCTCGAATACATGGAGTATGCGACGGAGCGCACGGTGCAGGATACCACGTTGGTGTTGGAATCTGCTTCTGTGCTTTCTTCTGCGCCGTGCGCAATTTTTTCCGTATTAAGTTGTTGATTCTCTGCAAAAGATACATAACATTACATATATAGAAAAATTAATTTCACGTGTCTCTCTCTCTCTCTCT